GGAGCAACCCATACTATCACCAAATTGGATAAGCAATTAAAAAAAAACAAACAAAAAACCTCATGCTTAACCTCATGCTTATGGATCATTTCCATGAGTAAAAGATAGGTATCTATTTTAGAGGTTTGGATGTGGTTTGTCCCTGAAAAGTTAATGCTGGAAACTTGTTCCCACTGAGGTGGTGGATCCTAAAGAGGTGGGGCCTAGCAGAGGGTGGTGAGGTCTTGGGCGTTGCCCTCTGAAGGGATTCATGCAGGTCTTGTGGGACTTGGTTAGTTCCTAGGCCAAGCGGCCGTCATGAGTAAGTTTGTCCATCTCTGCTCACCTTCCATTTCCTCTGCAATATTGTAACACAGCCAGGCCACCCTGGCAGGGACACGAACATCATGCTGCAGGGACCCTCCAGCCACCAGAATTGTGAGCCAAATGAATCTCTATACTTTATAAGCCACCCACCCTCACATACTCCATTATAGAACATAAACCAGCTAAGATGGTATCAAAATATTGTCACTAAACAAAACGTACCACCTTGGCAATTATCTCCCAGCTTTGAGTATCTCTTTGAGCATCAACCAAATGATACATGGCCAAAGAAGGAAGCCTGTCACAAAATGTGGCCTTTCAGGGCATTTTAGCAGTGAGAAGGAAACAAATTGGAAAACAGTATTTCAAGGAAGAAAATGATTGAGAAATAATAATAGTTGAGATTGTGTGTGTGTGTGTGGGGGGGGGGGTTGTTCTTTGTAGTTATAATTTTCCCCATATCATAATTTTTCTAATAGTCATGATACTAGGTTTACAATTCCACATCTTAAATTTCTCTCGCTTTCTTACGATGCTTCCAAAAATTAATGTGCAGTTTTGGATTATGTAGTAATCAATATTTAGAGCACAGCCTATGCAAAGTATAACAGTATAACATCAATACCAAATAGAAATGCTTGATAAAATGACAAGTACTTCACTTTTCTTTGTGCTTTTCTGATTTTTTCAACTAGTCTATGGTTTCTACTATTCATGGTATAAATAGTAACTATTCTCATAACTAGGGAAAAAAAATCACCTCAACAGCTAGCTAATTAAGACAATGCCATCTTAGATCTCCCAGAGTTTTTGATATGGGCATTGCCTATTTTCCCTCTGTTTCTTCTTTTTAGCCTTTAAACATCCAGTTTTGGAAATGAGACGTTCTGCTTTGATGGTAGACTAGGATCAAATTAAACTACTCCTGAATCTCACAAGGCTAATATTTCAAATTAGAAATTTCAGCTCACTCAACACATTCTATCACACTTGGGCTTGATGAAGCGTTACTTATGTGAATAATTAGCCTGAATAATGTGTGGAAAGCAAGAGGACAGTTTTCCAGCCAGTCATTAATTGTTCTTCCCTCCTACAAAAATGAACAAGGAAAGGCAAAGAAGAGGGTGTGGCAGGTGACAAAGGCTCTTCTTCCCAAGGGCCTTTCCTGGGACTTGAATGGGTTTCTATAGCAGTGCAAGCAATGTTTGAGAGTTAAATGAGCAGAAATCCATACCCAGACATCCAGGGCAGCCCGAGGGCTCAACTGCAAGACTCCATAGCCAGAAGACCTCTGTATCGTGTCCTACAAATATTATCTAGCACCCAGTCTTATGACCTACTATGAGACAGAGAAAATCCCGAGGTGCTTGGGCACTACCACTTCATTATAGTTTCTATTTTAAAAAAACCGACATTCATACAGGCAGCCCTTTTACTAAGCTAGCTGGTTTGCCATACTATCTTTTAAAGATGATAGCTAACTGACAGCCAAAGAAAACAGACACCAACAATCCACAGCACCTCTCTGGCTGCAATCATAGCCCAATCCAATGTGTTTCCCACCTCCAGCCCCGGATGTTCAGAGTCTCTTATTTTGAAGTTGGACCCAGCTGGGGTTTGAAACTGGCTCCAGACGTTCTGCAACATTAACAGATGGTGGAATCCTCTAGGAAGTAATTCCACTGTGGGTTTCTATTCCCTAACCAAGGTTTTTAAACATAATGCGCTTCCTCACCAGCTCGCTCGGCCTTCCCATTCCTTGACTAACCAGTCTCTCCCAATCTCCACTCAAGGAAGAAATGACAAGAGAAAAATCACAAAGAGAAGGGAGAGAGAGATCATCACCTCATATATCCTGTATATGCTAATAGAAGCACATATTCTAATTATTTTTCATTAAGAGATGGGGGACTGGCTGGGTGGCCCAGGCTGTCCTAGAACTTCTGAGTTCAAGCCATGCTGCTACTTCAGTCTTCCAAGCAGCTGAGACGACATGCACGTCCCACTCAGTATTCTTTATCTTCTTAGACATGAGAATTTCATCTCCCCTCCCCAAATGGCCTTTTTTCCTGTTTTCAGCTTTATTTTGCTTTAAGAAATTCTTCTTCTCTTCAGTTTTTTTTTTTTTTTCTGGTGATTCTTAATTTCACAACAATTGGAATCTTTACCAACCATTCCATAATAGGAGCATGATGGGTTTGGATTAGAAATATCCCTGTCAATCTCAACCCTCCAACTGTTTTGTAAGTGATGATTGTTAAAAAGAAAAAAAAAAAAACCCATAATTTAAAAAAATAAATTTAAAAAAAACTGCTAGACATTTTCTGTTTCTGCAAACTTTTTTAGCTACTTATTTTTTAAAATAAATGTGAACTCTTCTTGTAAAAAAAAAATCCTTGCCAACACCAAAAATATAAGTTATTTTTAAATCAGTTGCTGCATAACATGAAAATTTGGTGTTGGTATTTGCTTTTTTTCATTTTTAAATTTTTGTTCTTAGCCAACCAATTCCACAACCTTTCTCCACAATTCCACGCCCCATCGCCATTGATTCTCTGAGCACCCATAATCTGTGCACTAAATTCCATTTTGCTTGTTAGCTGCCTTTAGTTTTTGTCTTTCCAAACAGAAATATTAACCAATACAACTGGGTTCCATATTGTCCCCTTTCCCTGTTCTGAAATTTCTAGGAATTAAGCATAGATTAGATAACAATGACCCAAATGTTATCTTCCAGATAAATTTCCCAGATTAGTGACCTGGAATTAAGGGAATGAGGAACAAGAGTTAATGCATCCAGGGACTAGTTTAGCAGCACAATAACTGTGACACATATTCATAAGACATGAAGAGAGATGTGACATTGTCCACGTCTTTCTGCATCATTGTGGGGCAGGGCCTCGACAAAACAATTTTCCCCAGAGTTGGCTTTAGTGAAGGACTATGGTAAGTTCCCTCCCTCTAGCCCTCTGCTCTGATATCCTTCCAGAGTAGTCAGAAATAAAGGCCACTGAGAGAGATGCTTGGGAAAGGGGAAGGGACAGAAACCATCAGCCAGCAGTGCCAGAACCGACACAGCCCTCCTTATATATACGGGGGGCATTCAAATGTTCTTAGGAGCTTTATTATCTTTGATATGCTTCACAGAAATGCTCGGTGAAGGCAGAGTAGATGTCTGACCTCCATTTTACTGTTGACATAGCAGCTTGAGAGAGATAAAGTAAATTTTCCAAGGTCCAAGGCTGAAAAACCACATCTTCTGGTTAACCTGATTAAGAAAGCAAATAGGTAGGCAAAGTAAAAGGTTGGCAAAGAGGTAAATGGGTGGTCAATGAGTGATGAGTTGTAGACCTTTAATTATTAATAAGTACTACTGCGGTTATCCCCACTGTTGGATCCTGAGATGAGCCCCTTACCTTGAAGATGGGGATAACAGCCGGCTGTCAAAGAGAAGCGACAGGCAAGGTATCAGGAGCTCAGTGAATGTTTAATGAATGAGTGAGATGAGACACGAGATAGGATGGGCAACCTGAGAGAGAGAAGGCCTAGTGCGCAGTAAAGTGTTTTGATTCCGCAAAATGGAGGGCATAGAAGCCCTTGGAAAGGGTTGATTTAAGAAACTTTAAGCTACACCTGGTTTATTGGTCAACTGCAAAAACTTTTATACGCGGACTTTGTTTTTTCAATGATGAAGTCCTGAACTAAAGAACAAGTCTGCCTTCTAAAAATCCACTGTGGATAATCCCGGTGGAAAATAGTTTTCTTTAGGCTTTGGGTTGCTCCTTTCTCCTTTTGCAACCGAAATGCGTTCTTGGAGTGACCCCACGCTACTGGAGAAGAGTGGCAGCTTGGAAGCGTTTAATTATCTTAAATTCAAGCGCCGACAGGGAGGAGTCCCCGCCTGGAGCCCAGGACGAGAGCTCGCTCCGGGCAGCGTCGCCCAGCGGGCAGAGGCAGCGGGTGTGTTCCGGGGCCTCCCTCCTCCCTCAGCTCCTGGCGCCCACAAGCTGCCACCTCCCCAGGCGGCCCGGGGAACTCAGCCGGCTCCGGGAGGCGGGGCTGCAGTGGAGCGGGCGCTGCTATTAGCTGCTAGGGCGGCGGAGGAGGGGCAGGGATGCCGTGATTGGCGGGAGCGCGAGCCGAAGGGGGCGGGGCCGCTATATCTGAGGAGTCCCTGTCGCGGCGCAGGCAGTTGGGCTGCTGGAGTGCGGCGCCGCCAAGGACCGGGGAGCCAGCAGCCGGCTGGGCGGGCGAGGGGGTGGCGGGGACGGGAGCAGCGGCCGCGGGGTGCAGGGCCGGTGTCTGCCGGGCTGCAGCCTAGAGAGGGCCAACCCTCGTCGAGCCCGGGACTGGGTTCGAGCCTTGCAGCTCCGCGACACCAAAGAGGAGGCGGCTGTGGCGGCAGCAGCGGCCCCAGCCATGCTGTGCTATGTGACGAGGCCGGACGCGGTGCTGATGGAGGTGGAGGTGGAGGCGAAAGCCAACGGCGAGGACTGTCTCAACCAGGTGAGGACTGGGGGCCCCGGCCCGCACCCCGAGGCCGAGGGGCCTCGCAGCGTGTCAGGCGCCCGGTGCCTGCCAGGGGCCCCGCGGCGCTGCAGCGGCGGCCCGGGAGAACGCGCCCCAGGCGCCCGGCTCGAGCCGCCTCCTCCCCGCGGGCGTGGGGCGCGCCGGGCGCGCATGTGGGGCACGGAGGACGCGCGCGCCCGGGACCCCGGCGCCGCCGGGGTCGCGGGTACAGCCGGGAGCTGCCACCCCGTCCCCTAACCCGTTACTTTCCCCAAACAAGGTGGACCGGCACACCTGCTGCAGGTGTGCGCGTGATGCCGCCCACGGGTCCCCGCAGGGCCTGGCAGCGCCACTCGTGTTCCAGGATAGGGTGGCTCGAGGTAGTCTTGGGTCCCGGGCTTTCTTGGCAGACAAGCCGGGTCCTTGTCTCATTCTGCTTCTCCAAGGGCCGGTTCACCTGCTTCGGATTTGCGGGGGAGAAAGGACTTGGAGAGGTTTGGGCTGTCTACTGCTTGGTTGTCTTCAAGCATGTGATTCGGTGAGAGTGAAGAAAGGTGCCCTACAGTGTATGAATGGTTGGTATGACAGACAGAGCCTTTGATCCCTGTGAAACACCCTGCCTTCAAATCCTTGAGACCTGAGATGTTTGGAAAACCGCTTAGCTGGAAAAAGCTTAGCTGACACTTGTGGCGTCTTTCCTCAATGTGTTTGTTTTTTGGAATCCAGATGGTTAAAATTGTCCAGATAATAAAGCTGCCAAATCAGCTGTGCAGATTGTGCTGGTGGAGGGAATTCCAGAGATCCGATTAAGAGGGAAACTACCCTGTGGCTGCCCCTCCTTCAGCCTTTCTACACGGCTACTTTGGGGGACTCCTTTTTCTCTACTGCAGTCAATCATGCTGTTGATAGTCAAGGTAGGACAAGCTTCCATACCAGAGCTAGGTTTCGACATCAGATTTAGAATTTTGTTTCCCCAGTTTACACGGGGAATTGTAGCACCGTTCAACTTTGTAAAAATCATGGGGCAGTCTTGGATACAGACAGCCCTTGGGTCTGCTCTAACTGTGTACCATTTGCTCATCCATGCTGCATTCATTTTTGTTTTAGGTGTGCAGGCGATTGGGAATCATAGAAGTTGATTATTTTGGACTGCAGTTTACGGGTAGCAAAGGTGAAAGTTTATGGCTAAATCTGAGAAACCGGATCTCCCAGCAGATGGATGGGCTAGCGCCCTACCGGCTTAAGCTGAGAGTCAAGTTCTTCGTGGAACCTCATCTCATCTTACAGGAGCAGACGAGGTAAAGTGAGGCTAAAGTAAACCAATGTCAAATACACCTTTGATTCCTTTTAGAAGGGATCATTGCATCCTCCCAGAGATGTCCCCCAGCAAATTTGTGTTACCGAACACTGAGTTCTTCATAACTTAAGTTGGTTTCCTGTATTATACTCTATTTGTTGAGGTGAAGAGGGGGCTGCATAGTTGGCCTGGGTGCATTTTCCAATTCTTGTTTTGTTTTTGTTGTCTTTATAAACTTACTGGGAGAAAGGGGTTGAAATCTTAACAAACAAACAAAAAGAAACAGCTCTGAGACTGACTTCCTGATAGCAGCATCTCATGCCCTATAGTAACCTCGCCTGAGTGGTGTTATTACAGGTCACTGTAGACTGCTCTAACCGAAAGCAGGAAACAGTTCCTCTTGGGTTACTTAAAACTTAGTCAACTTCTTCAGCCTAGTATCAGATTACAGTATGTAGCAAAGAGCTCTGGCTTCATGCAGAATTTTAAAAGTAAGTTTTATGAAAACTTAATAAAAGAACTCTTTGAAGGCCAGTAACTGAATTCCACCCCACAGATAGATTAAATATGTCTGTTGTTTAGACTGTTGAATTTCTCTGTTGTTAAAAAAATAAACAATAACCCCACCAATAGTGGCAGACTAAAGCCTGAGGTCTCCTTTTTCAAACAGATACTGTGTTCCCTCTGGACTGATACTTTTTCTTAAAGATGTGCCAGACAAGGAAAGTGATGTTTAATATTTACTGCTGAAATGCCAGAGACTTAAATCTTACAGCAGCATGTCAAGTAAAAGAAAATGACTGCCTTCAAAAATGTAGCGAACTTTGGATCTAAGCACCAGTGTTTTTCATAATCCTTTGACTTGGAAATCTGCCATGCATGTGAAAAATGTGATTCTGAGAATTTTGAATAATGATGAGTGAGCAAAATCCCCTAGGAGTTTTTAACATGTCTTTTTTTGTTTGTTTATTTGTTTGTTTACCAAAGAACTGATAGAAATGTTTTATAATTATTAATTTGAATTTGAAATCTCTTCTTTGCCTTGCTATGGAGCTTTAAAGATAGACGAAATCTTTAATTTACTTTCTGAAGGAAGCTAGCATTTTGAATTCTTAGTGCTTCTTAAAATATCTCACAAAATATTCAAGTCATTCTGTGTTTAACAATGTTTTAGTTGTCTTTATTAATCAGAATTTTTTTATATAAAGCTAATTGATGAAAGCTTGTACTTTACACTTCATGACTTGCAGTTGAGTAAAAAAAAATTTAAAAAAACATTGGATTTTTCATTGTATAGTCATATTTTGATTTTGCAGTTACTTCAGGGTCTCTCTATGACCCTATTTTGATGACACAAATTGAGTTTTTATATCGGAGGACCAGATACTTTATTTAAACAATGGAAGTGATAATAGCATAATACATTTGTACTATGAAAGCATTCATACTGTATAATTAAGTACTAGGTGGTCTCTACTAGGTCTTTCCTGTAATTGGGTCAGTACAATGATCAAATCCATTTTATTCATGCAAGAAAGAGAGACATTTTATGAATTAGAACTTGAATCAAATTTCCTCTCTTGATTTTTCTTTTCTTGACTCAATTGACTTTGACTCTTGAAATTTATAGCTAATAGCACTCAAAGAGTATGTCTAGCTAGTTTGACTGAGTAATTTTAATTGATTTTATTTCCTTTTTCAAATCCTATTGAAAGGTTAGTGTGATATAAACTTTCAATTTGCTTTTTAATATATTAGTGAATTTTGCTTGTGTGTGTGTGTAGGATTGGCTAAAATACAAATCTCTAATAAAATGCCACCTGAGGTTTATATCACATCTGCTTTAATAACTTGATAAAGTGATTTGTAATCACCATTTGTACCTTTTAATTAGGGCAGCAGAAGTTGTACTAGGTCCAGTTTACAATTAGCATTGTTTTTACATGCATGACACTGAAGAACAAAAACACTTATTTCCCCTTAATGATATTTTAGTAAAATAAAGCTTGTTGATAAGCTTTTTGATATTCAGCTTTTGTTATAAAACTCTGTGAAAATATAATTGATGTGCTTATGTATTGAGTAAATGCAGCTGTGACAATCCAGTTATTAGAGTTGATTTTTTACTAAGTCAAGTCATGAGGGTGCATTTAGTATACCGAGAGCGGCTGGACAGTTTATTAAATGGTTCTGAAATATTCTGGCTTAGTTGTCCTTTGTGGACAATTAAGTAGGCTGCTCAGGGTAGAGCTGGCCTAACTGGAGGCAGTTAACATACTAGTCCACATCAGATTACAGTAACAAGCAGGAAGGCCTACTTATCATGGAGAGCCCTGGGACCCAGGCAGAAGCCCTGTGTTCTGGGTCCCACTGATCATTAACCACCAGGCCTGAGCCCTGCTGAAAGCCCAAGAAGAGATAGTCTCTGAATGCCTCCTTGCATAGCTTCCCCACTTTGCTTCTGCTTCGTCTGTATTATTTTCTTAATGTTGTCCTAAGTATATTCCTTTGAAGACAGAGAAAACATATCTGGTATTGGCTTGGCTTGGCAGGTAGGGTTAATCTGGTCTCTGATTTGGCCTCAATTTAGATGTGGTCCTACCCATATGGTTGTTTGCCTCAAAAGTAAAAGGAGAGTCCTGTTCAGACTAGCTGGCACCATTCAGAGATGGAGACAGCAGGTCTTTTCAGCAGATGTTTGCGGTGCTGTTGATTTAAACAAAAAGTGAAACAAATTAATGTATTCTGGAAGTAGATCTGAAATTATAACCATCGTGGAAATTTTTGCTCTTCAAAGGCTTTCATTTATTCATAACTATTCTGACTGAATTTTGCCAACATTTTCAAATCCAGAAATTAGAGAGGTTTATGCTTCATCTGAGTGTTCAGGGACACACTCTAGTCCTGGACATTGAAGTTCTTCAAGACTTCAGTGATGCCAGTTGTGTCAAGGTTGACGAGTCCCCTGTTCGGTCCCTCCTGCCATCCTGGCCTGAGCTCAGTCATTAGTGCTGCAGCTGGCAGGAGACTACACACCCCCCAGACATCCTGAGTCTTTCCTTTGTAGCATTCAGGAGCTTATAACACCGCGTTTACTTACGTGACAGTTGTTTATTGTCAGTCACTCTGATAATCTAAATTCCATTGACATTGATCAACATTGCATCTCCAGAGTCTAGCAGGTGCTAATTTATAAGACAATTGTTCAATCAGTGAATTTAGAATTTAGAAATAAAAATGGGGTTAACCAACACAAAGTTTCTTATAGATACTGTAATGCTTTTGTTTGCTTCTGTAAATAGAAAAGAATAGTTAAAGGAAATGTCACCATTAAAAAATGTCACGTGGTATTCCTTTCTGTTTAGTGATGGCATTCCTTGCCTTCCTCTTTGGCCCCCTCCACCATATTCCAGATCACCAGTTTATTGGCTGTTCGTTCCTAATCTAAAATGGACAGCCATTCCCCTGGACCTTTTCTGATGTTCAGATGTAAGATGTAAGATGTTCAGATGTAAGACGTGGGGCTTCCTTCCCTGTGTTGCCCCAGCTGGGCTCAAGCAGTCCTCCTGCCTCAGCCTCCAGAGCAGCCGGGGCTGTAGGGGTGTGCCGAGGTGCCTGGCTCAGATGAATTTAAGCTACAGCCTTACTTTATCTAATTTCAGCCAGTTTATAGTCTTAACTACTTATTAATTCAACTTTTTTTCCTGTCTTCCAACACACACAAAAAAATCACATAGACATAGAAATCTAGGAAAGATGGCATCATGGAACCCAGAGAAAATGCCATGTGACAACTGTGGGCAGATATAGAAAGTGATGACTTCAATCCAGTTCAGAGCGGAGTCTGATTGGCTCCAGCTAGTGCCTGTAAATCATGCTCGAAGCCTT